TTCCTCGGATGGTGATGGCTAGCACGAGGGGACATAGCTTTAAATTGAGGGGTGATAGATATAGGACAGACGTCAGAGGTAGGTTCTTTACTCAGAGAGTAGTAAGGGCGTGGAATGCCCTGCCTGCAAAAATAGTAGACTCGCCCACTTTAAGGGCATTTAAATGGTCATTGGATAAACATATGGATGATAATGGAATAGTTTAGGTTAGATGGGCTTCAGATTGGTTTCACAGGTCGGCACAACATCGAGGGCCGAAGGGCCTGAACTGTGCTGTAATGTTCTATGTTCTATGTTCTATATTGTGTGCTTTTTCTTTTGCTTTCTGTGCTCTCCCTGCCTTCTCCATCAGCCATGGTTGCCTTATCCTCCCTGTAGTATGTTTCTTCATCCTTGGGATGAATTTCTGCTGTGCCTCCTGAACTCTCTCCAGAAATTCCTGCCATACTGCTCCACTGTCTTCCTTTCTAGGCTCCCCTTCCAATCAATTCTCTCACGTCAATTGTAATACTGTTACATCTGATTCCAGTTTCTCCCTCTCAAACTGCAGGGTGAATTCTATCATATTATGGTCATTGCCCCCTAGATATTCCTTCACCTAAGCTCCCTAATCAAGTTGGCCTGATTACACATCACAAAATATAGATTTGCCTGTTTCCTTATGGGCTCTACCACGAGCTGCTCCATAAAATCATCTTGTAGACATTCCATGAATGCATTTTCTTGGGATCTGTTGCCGACCTGATTTTCCCAGTCTACCTGCACGCTAATTATTGTAATAGTGACCCTTCCTCGAACCGAAACATTAACTCTGATTTGTTTCCACAGATGCTGCCAGACCTGCTGAGCTTTTCTAGCAATTTTTATTTTTGTCTCTGATTTACAGCATCTGCAGTTTTTTTCAGATGGCCTAGTGGAATTAGTTCCAGGGACCCAGGTTCAATAATAATAAAATCTGGAATTAAGAATCTACTGGTGACCATAAAAACATTGCCTATTGTTGGCATAAACCCATCTGGCTCACTAATATCCTTCATGGAAGGAAATCTACATTCCCTTACCTGGTCTGGGCTACATGAGACTTTAGACCCACAGCAATGTGCTTGACTCTCAGCTGCCCTCTGAAATGGCCTAGCAAGCCACTCAGTTGTATCTACTGCTTAACCTACTACACATGGACCGCAGTGGTTCAAGAAGGCAACTTACCACCACCCTTTCAAGGGCAACTAGTGACGGGCAATAAATGCTGGTCAGTCAGCGACACCCATATCCCATGAGTGAATAAAAAAAATTTAATTTAATTTCTTACTAATAGCACAACACGGATCCCTCTGCCTATCCTTTCAATAGGATGCATATCCTTGGATATTTAGTTCCCATCCATCATCCTTTCTAGCAATGATGTCCACATCGTACCTACAAATTTCAATCTGCACTACAAGCTCATTTACCTTGTTTCGTACACTGCGTGCATTTAAGTACAACATCCTCAAATCCTGAGTTGACTACCCTCTTCTCATAGGTGCCCCCTCATCTGCTGTGTCTGAAGTTAGATTGCTGATCCTTTCCATACTATTACTTGTTCTGGAAGCTTCAATAACTTCTCCTGAGCCCTCCCATTTTCCCCTGCCTTTTAATAATGTCACTCTGGTTATGAATATTTCCTAATCTCTCAGCAGCCAGAAAGGTAACTTTCCCTTTCCTCCATCATACAAAATAGATAACTTCACACTTTGGCATACTATATTCCATCTGTCATGTTCTTGTCTACATACCAAATCTGTCTGTATCCTTCTGCATCCTCAATGAATCCTCAGCATTTCCTTTCCATCTGACTGTATCACCAGCTAACCTGAATATGTTACATTCAATCAACGCATCCAAGTCATTAATTTTGATCCGAAATAGCTGAGGTCCAAATACTAATCCATGCGGTACCCTGCCAGCTCCAAAATACCAATCCGGGAAATGTCCTATTAATCCTACAACTTTAAGTCATTAATCAATCCTTAGTGGATGTTAATAAATTATTCCAATCCAAATAGTCCCAAGTTTATGAAATAATCCATGTTTGAGCATCTTAAGTGACTCATCTGAAGTGCATCGAAACATTTTCCTAAAATAATGATGCTATTTAAATACAAGTTTGTTTAGAAATTCACTCTTAATTTCTACTTTTCATCAACACATTCAATCATTTATTTGAGTCAAACATAATTTGCCTTTTATAAAGCCACACCAGCTGGTATTCATTAAGCCAGGTGAAAATTGACTTTATTTCCTATTTTTAACTCTAGAAGCTCACCTACTGCCACCGTTAGGTTGTTTATCATTCTGTTCTGGAATATGGATTAAATTGGTAAGGCCAACATTTACTGCCCATCCCTAACTGCTCAAGAGATGATGATAAAGCCACCTTCTTAAATTGCTGCAGTCTATCTGGTACATGTACACTCAGTGTAGTTAGGAAGACAATTTGGATTTTTGATCCAATGACTGTAAAGGAATGGTAGTACAGTCCTAAGTTAGGCTAGGTTGTGGCTTTCAGGGGAACCTATTGGTGGTGGACTTTTAAACAGATGCCCTTGTCCTTCCAGGTGCAGTTGAAGAAGGTGTGACATGTTGCTACATTGTTTTTGTGGTGCATATTGCTGCCACCATATATTTGTAAAATCTTCCTTACTATCCTACTTTGATACCATCGCCTTGATAATTTGTTGTGATCTCTCTATCTTAATTAGTTTGTACACTTTTGGATTACTTGTTATATTGATCAGACCCTCGGCATGTGACTCTTATACCCATCAAGTTATTGCAGCCATTTGGTTTGTCTTCAGCACCACCTTATGTTTAATTTTTTGTAATTATCTCTCTATCTGAATTAATCAGAATATAGGTCATCCCTTCACTTGTTATTCAGCAGTTGGCACTTTGCTCACACCATCTGACACTTGATCACCTTCAGCGACTTATTATTCAACCTGTCAACATTCCACACTCACCATTTATATGATATTTTGATCATTCTGCTTATAAATTCTGTGCTTATGTGGTTCTCTTCACTTCACGTGGAGAAGAAGCAATGCTCCGAAAGCTTGCGATTTCAAATAAACCTGTTAGACTATAACCTGGTGTCGTGTGACTTCTGACCTTGTCCACCCTGGCCCAACATTGTCACCTCCACATCACACTGTGTGTCAGTGGTAGTGGATGTGAATACTCTGTGTAAGGTAACACCTATTTACAGGTACACAGGTTAAGAATCAAATTTATTATTAAAAATTCTACTCCTAACTGACATGAGCTGAATTCAAAATTTAAAAATAGCATTATACGTACGGCAGAGAGTGGCTTTTTCAAATATTCCTCCTCCTTCTTGATCTGAATTTCAGATATTGAAATGTACTTGTGCTGTGAAGTAGACAAAATAATGAATTTAAACTGTCACATTTCTGAGTTGCTCTATTTTAAAAACTAAGAATACAGAATACATATTTCAAAATGATTTTTACTGCTATTTAGAGCATTGGATTTGGGGAGTAGAACACATTCCAATTCAAGCAGAGCATCTCAAGTATTAAAATTGTTGAGAAAAGCAGTATTTCAATACTAGTGTTTTGTTGCTCCAATCTCAGAATCCCCTGCTGCATGCAAGTGATTATTTTCCATATCAACCATCTTATGGGTTTTGATACAACATCCGATAAATCCCAGGAAATGGAGGTCACTGAAAAGGTTAACAATTATTGCCCATCCTACATATCCTTGAGACGGAATTATAGGTGAGAGTATGTCTTGAACTACTGCAGGCGATGTGGTGGATGCACTTCCAAATCAACTGTTTGGTCAGCAGCTTCTCAATTTAGAGCAAACAAAAGTGGAAGGTCAGTGGACACATAGCCTAGATAGGATGATATACAGCTTCAATGGGCTCTTGGAGATAATGAGTTCCTTTGAATCCGTTGTTTTGGTCCGACTAGGTGATAAAAGTCACATGTTTAGGAGATGCCGTTTAAAATGCCTTCGTAAATTGCTGCAGTGCATTCTAGAAATGGTATGCACTACAGCCATGTTATGCCAGTTGGAGTTCCAAACAAGCAGGCTGCTTTGTCCTGGGTTGTGTCAAGCTTCTCATTACATTTTTGCAGTTATATCTCTCGAAGGAAGTGCAGACTATTCCATTACTGTCCTGATGTATGCCTTATTGACTTTGGAGTGATTCTGGGGAGTTAGTCAATACGGAATAGATGACTTCTGACTTGCTGTCACAGTCAATACATTTATGTGGCTAGTCCAAATGAAATTCTGGTCAATGGTGATGCAATTATGAATTATTGGGCCTTCGATGCTGGCTTAAAGAGTCTCCTGTAATGATGTTCTGGGTGGATATCATATCAACAATGGCAACCATCTTCCTTTGTGCCAAGTATGAACAGTTGGAGGCTTCAATTCCTCGGGGCTAACTTAAGTCAAACACTGTCTTGATATCAAAAGTATTTATGGTCAACTCTAGAACGTGGCTCATTTAGATCAAGGCTGCAACAAGTACAAAAATAAGCCATCCTGGCAAAACCCAAAGGGAACATTTATAGCCTGCATATTGGTGAATGAGGAGTGTAGATGACTCCTCCTTTTACTTTGCTGATAATAGGGTGGTGGATCACCCAATCTGCACAACTGACTGAAGTTGGTTGTGAATCATACAGCCTTGTCCTTTGATGGAACCTGTCATCATTTGAAGATGGAAATGTTAATGGAATCTCTCACATTCCTACCCCCATGTTAGATACTTTATTGTGAACAATATTTACAGTGAGATGAGACAGGTTTTCAAAGCTTCCTTCAAATTCATCAGATTTGAAATCCATTACTCTGTCAAGAGTATGCAGCTTTACTAGATGTGGTATAATTTAGTGCTGATAAGTTAGTACCTCATTTTCAGGGATGCCTTGTGCTGCTCATAAGAACATACAAATTAGGAGCAGGAGTAGGCCATTCAGTCTCTTGAGCCTGCACTGCCATTCAATACCATCACGGGTAATCTGACTGTAACTTCAAATCCAAATACCTGCCTATCCCTGATAGCCTACCACCCTCTTGCTTAACAAGAATCTAGCAATATATGACTTAAAAATATTAAAGGACTCCTCTTCCACCACTTTTTCAGGACAAGAATCTATGGAATTCATTTCAACAGAAGGCTGTGGACGCCAGCTTATTCAGTATATTTAAGACAGAGATAGATAGGCTCTTGACCGTTAAGGGTATCATGGTTACAGGCAGAAGGCGGGAAAATGGGGTTAAGAAACATATCAGCCATGCGTGAATAGGACAGCAGGCTTGATGGGTCGAATGATCTAATTTCTACTCCTATGTCTCATGGTCTTCGAATCACAAACAATTACGGGCCTCAGAGAGCAAAAAAACAAATTACCATCGCTCTGTTTCAAATGAGCGACTTTTGGTTTTAAAATAGTAAGGCAAAAGACAGAAAATTACAGGCCGTTTAGCTTAACCTCAGTCGTGGGTAAGATTTTGGAGTCCATTGTAAAGGATGAGATTTCTGAACATTTGGAAGTGTATGGCAAAGTAGGGCAAAGTCAGCATGGTGGGCAAAGTCAGCATGGTTTCATCAAGGGGAGGTCATGCCTGACAAATCTGCTAGAATTCTTTGAGGAAGTAACGAGCAGGGTTGACCAAGGACAGCCAATGGATGTTATCTACCTGGACTTCAAGAAGGCTTTGAAAACGTGCCGCACAGGAGGCTGTTGAGCAAGATAAGGGCCCATGGTGTTAGAGGCAAGGTACTAGCATGGACAGAAGATTGGCTATCTGGCAGAAAGCAGAGAGTGGGGATAAAAGGGTCTTTCTCAGGATGGCAGCCGGTGACAAGTGGTGTTCTGCAAGGGTCAGTGTTGGGACGACAACTTTTCACTTTTTACGTTCATGATCTAGATGAAGGAACTATGGGCATTCTGGCTAAGTTTGCAGATGATACAAAGATAGGTGGAGGGACAGGTAGCATTGAGGAGGTGGGGAGTTGCAGAAGGATTTGGACAGGTTAGGAGAGTGGGCAAAGAAGTGGCAGATGGAGCACAACGTGGGAAAGTGTGAGGTCATGCACTTGGGTGAGAAGAATAAAAGCATGGACTATTTTCTAAATGGGGAGAAAATTCAGAAGTCTGAAGTGCAAAGGCACTTGGGAGTTCTAGTCCAGGATTCTCTCAAGGTAAACTTGCAGGTTGAGTTAGTAGTCAGGAAGGCAAATGCAATGTTGACATTTATTTTGAGAGGACTGGAATATAAAAGCAGGGATGTACTCCTGACGTATAACACTCTGGTCAGGCCACATTTGGAGTACTGCGTGCAGTTTTGGGCCCCATATCTCAGGAAGGATGTACTGGCCCTGGAGCAGGTTCAGAGGAGGTTCACAAGAATGGTCCCAGGAATGGAAAGCTTAACGTATGAGGAACGTTTGAGGACTCTGGGACTATACACATTGGAGGTCAGAAGGATGAGGGGGATATAATTGAAACTTGCAGAATACTGAATGGCCTAGACAGAGTAGCTATTGGGAAGAAGCTTCCATTGGTAGGAGAGACTAGGACCCAAGGGCACAGCCTTAAAGTAAAGGGAAGACCTTTTAGAATGGAGATAAGGAGAAACTTCTTCAGCCATAGAGTGGTGAATCTATGGAATTTACTGCCACAGAAGGTGGTGGAGGCCAGATCATTGAGTACATTTAAGATTGAGATAGATAGGTTCTCGACTATCAAGGGGATCAAGAGTTATGGGGAGAAAGTGGGAGAATGGGGTTGAGGAACTTATCATTCATGATTGAATGGTGGAGCATCTCGATGGGCCGAATGGCCTAATTTCTGCTCCTATGTCTTATGGTCTTATCCCCTAGTTCTTCATTCTTCCATTAGAGGAAACATCCTCTCCATATAAACCTTGTCAAGACCCCTCAGGACCTTACATGTTTCAGCTAATTCCAACAGATACAAGCCTAGTCTTCCGAATTTTTTCTCCAATGACAACAGGTTCATTCCCAGTAGTACTAAGACATTGGTTGAAGAAGCAGAACATAGAACATAAAACTGTACTGCACAGGAACAGGCCCTTCAGCCCACTATGTCTGTGCCGACCATGACGCCATTCTGAACTAATCCCATTTGCCTGCACATGGTTCATATCCCTCTATTCCCTGCCTGTTCATGTGACTGTCTAAATGCCTCTTAAACACTGCCATCATATCTGCTTCTACTACCTCCCCTGGCTGCACATTCCAGGCACCTACCATCTGCATAAAAAACTTGCCTCGCACATCTCCTTTGGACGTATATCCCCAATTTTTTGACATTCCCAGTCTGGGAGAAAGACTCCAAAGTAGGCTGGTCATGCCACGGAGTCTGCTCCGTCATTCAATGAGGTCATGACTGATCCAGAAACTCTCAATTCTACTTTTCTGGCTTTTCCCCATAACCCTCAATTCCAGCACTAATTAAAAATGTCTTTCTCAACCTGGAATATACTTATCGACCAAACTCAACAGCCCTCTGTGATTAAGGATAGCCTCAAGGAAACTCGTATCAGTGCCCTAAATGGATGACCTTTACTATCAGATTAGACTTCGGTAAAACCACGCTAACTGTGTCTGATTCTATCACTGTTTTCTAAGTGCTCTGCTATAAACTCCTTGATAATGAACTTTAGCATTTTCCTCACTAACAATTTCAGAATTACTGGTCTATAATTCACTGTTTTTTCTCTACCTCCTTTTTTTTTAAAAAAAGAGTGGGGTTATATTCACTACGCTCCAATCTATAGGAACTGTTTCAGAGTCTAAAGAATCTGGGCAGACGACCATCAATGCATTGACTATCTCTCTGCCACTTCCTTAAGTACAGTTGCTCCACCCCATTTCTTGACAATACAAATTTGCTTCAGTTCCTCCCTGTCACCAAACTCTCTGTTCTCCATTATTTCTGGTACATTATTCACGTCTGCCTTTGTGAACGCAGAAATGAAGTATGAATCTAGTTTGTCAGGCATTTCTTTGTTACCCATTATAAATTCCCTAGTTTCTGTAAGGGCCCTACCTGAAGGGACATAAGATGGCAGCAGCAGAGAAGGCCCATCCAATATGTCTGCTTTTCTTTATTTCCTTCCTTTTTTCTCTCATTTTTCTTATTTTTAGGTTTTAGAGATTTTTTTCTACTTACTTGCCTTCTGGAGAGAATTCAGTCATGGAGGCAGCGGCTTCGTCAGCACCTAAAGTGTGACAGAGGCTGATGGCCTGGATCTGGATTTTGGTGGTCAGCTAGAGGTCCGGTGCGTGGCAGTGGTTGTGGGCCTGGATTGGAACTTTGACGGTCAGAGAACCCGCCCAATGTTGGGAGAGCAAGCCC